GGCAATTGGTTGTATTTTGTCAGAAAGCTCAGCCTGGAAGGTAGAAAAGTACTCTGCTCAAGATGAAACAGCATAAAAGACAGCAAGGCACTCTGTGTGAACCTGAGTTCCACACAATTTCCCAAGCTAAAGTTTTCACTCAAAGTGGAGCTTCCTCAGATTTCTAARCTGAATCATCTGACCAACAAATATATCACCTGATCAATTAAGGGGGAACTGGCTGCTCCAGAATGATCCCAACAACTAGGTCCCATTTGGAGCACCTTAAAAGAGCAAGGCTTCAAATTGAAACCTGCAAGTCATCTGTTGGGGAAAAAATACTGTTGATTTCCAAAAATCACAGAATCATTTAGGTTGAAAAAGACCTGTGTGATCATCAAGTCCAACCTYTGACTGAGCACCACSTTTTCAAGTAGACCATGGCACTAAATGCCAAATATATTGTTTCTTGAACACTAAAAGTGGGGGGGGAAAAAGCTGCTCTGAGGCAGACATCTAATTTCTAAGTTTTGAACATAAAAAGAAAGTTAAACCAGCACAAGAAGAAACATAATAGGTTTTAAAACCCTGAACACAGATTCCCCCTCCCAGTTTTAAATTTTTGTTCATGACAAGCAATCAAGTCGGTGAGATTTTGTTTGTACGTTAAAGATTTCAAAGTTGTCTTTGATTTCTGCCAATACAAAGGCAAATCCATCAAACTTCTGACCTTCTCATCAAATTCAAGCATCTAAAGAAGAAAGCACATCTGCTGAACTTTCAAGAGCATGAAAAAAAARCACCCTTCTGTGGTTTTTTACATTTTTGGAGTTAGCTGAGAACTGTGAACATGGAAACATGAAGGAAAATGTAGWCTTCTATCTAAAAGTTTCTACCTCTAACTGGAGGAGAAGCAAATATAACAATTMAGGTGCTTGTGTGGCATTCTGAATCTCTGATAACCATTATTTCCACTGACAGCAAAATGTAATTGTTTCTGAAARAAATTGCTTGCTTTGAAGGATTAGATGGAAGAATGATAGACAAATGGCATATGAAAAAGAATTTGAAAACAGTAATTAGCCTATCCTTCAGGCTTTTGTTCCTAGCAATTTCAAAACTTTATTATTTAAAAGATTAAGCAGATAAGGACACTATTTTTTAAGAAGTTTTGAGATTTCCTTTTGATTCAGATTTTCAGTGAGATTTAAGGTTGCAACCTTAATTTCATGGTTTACATACATGCCTGAATTTAAAAGTGAAGAAGAGAGGTAGATGTGTACAAGCTTAAAGCTGTTGATTTACAGGCACTATTGAAATCTTGTTCCAATTTTTATAAAAGCTATGCTGTACTAAACAGCATATGTAATTTGCTTTTTAAACCAATCCATCATTATTGCCTTCAGAGAGTGTAGAAAT